GGTTAACCTAATGAGAAATAAATAAGAGTTGGTTCGAGTTAGATTACAGTAAGTTTAGGGATATTTTCACGTTAAGTTTAGTTTAGGGAAAGATAAGTGTTAGAAGACCTAAATAATTACATGCTTATTATTACTGTTTCCTTGGGTTCCCGATGGAACACATAGCTTCATCAACACATCTCCGATCTCTTCTGTTTTCTGCCATCCTCTTTAGCTGGGTCCACGATTGTCCGGACTCTCTCATCTCTTCCTCACACGATCTCCTCCATATCATCCTCGCACTGACGAACCAATAGTCACTTCCCATTTGGATTCCACTCGAGCGCCTGGCGCGAGATTTCATTAGACAGCCTCTTCAAAATATACACGATGTATTTTCATTTTCTTCTACACGTCTGTTGAGCGATCGCCTTTCACCTCTTGGTTTGTTGCCGGCCAGAGTTTCTTGTTGCGAATCGTTTCAAGCCATTCGATCCTGAGTATAGAGCGAAGGCAGCTGTTGGTGCCAGTCTGCAACCTGTTGGAAATCGTTTTCGTTACACGCCCAGTTTCTTATCCGTATAGAAGGATCGTCTTGACGTTGGCGTTGAAAATCCTAATCTTGTTCTTTATGCTGAAGCGGAATGCAGAAGATTTTCAAACTGGTTTTATGTTGATGAAGCCTTATCTTGCCTTTCCGACCCTAAATGGATTTGACATCTTTATTCGTTCCGCCTGTTGTTGAAACGATGCCTCCTTGATTAGTGTAGAAGGTAACCTCTGTCAAATGTCCCCCGTTGATGGTGATTGGATCTGGTTGTTGTTGTTGTTGGCGGTGGTGGTGGTGGTTTATCTTCATCACCTCCGTCTTCTCTCTGTTCACTTGGAGGATTCCTGTCTTCACTGGCTACTTCTTCAATCAGTTTGCTGGTTTTCGCCTGTAAGTGTTCGAGTTTAAGTGATATTAGACACTATTTATCAAGGCGTCGGTGACACAGCGTTTAGGGCGCTCGCCGGCCATCCACATGGTCCGGGGTTCAATTCCCGGCCACAGATGCACTGCTTTACCTCGCTAAGCCGGTTATAAAAAGCTGGTAAGGAGGAAAAGTTGGGCATGAGGCTATCAACCCTATCCTGTAAAAATAAACGCTGTTACAGAAACTTCAAGCCTCTCGCTTGAAGCCCTATGTCCCACTGGGAACGTGAAGGAATAAAAAAAGACATTATTCATCAGCGAAATCCAGATCTCTTAGAGTCTTCTCATCGCTGGTCCAGAGTATTCCTGACTCCTCACTCCCAACAGTCTGACGCACAACCCACCACACCACAATTAATAATATCATCGGTGGTAATAGACAGGCAGTCATGTCTTACTGCTTCATGTACTTCGAACGCCTCACTGAGTTTTCCGTTGTGGATCACCTGGCACGTGCCACTGTCATATAAATGTTGAATGAAATCACATGCATAAAGTGTGGTTAAATTACTCTTTTGATGCTTCAGTACAAAACTGAGAGGTGATTTTGTCATATACCAAAGAAAGGTGTCCGTTGAAGGTTATTTGTCCATTGATATTTACTGGTGCTTATAGTTTAACTTTATCAAATATTGTTTGTAATGTATTAGTTTCATCTGGTTGTATGATAAAACGTGAAATGGTTGAAAACCCGGCCTCAATCTTGGACTACCGAAATACTTCTTCATTATATTGCAAATAATTTGTCTTTCTCTCTTTGTTTCAATCTGTCAACATATAACCCCTAATGATAGTGTTTACTTACTCTCATGAGTATTTAAAATATTTCCAATCTTCTGATTGTCACTTTCTATTAAACTTGGGAAAAGGCATAATTTTGAGTGGCTCTGTGTCCCAGTACACAAGAGAGCTGTTCTCGAGTTATGTCACTGCTTCTTTATATCTACTCTTGAAGTTTGTTTTTTTATAATTGGCATTCAACCAAATTAATGTCGTGCATTTCTCAAAGGAGACAAAGAATAAGAAATGTCCCAATGGATTGGTTTACGACTCAGATGAGACAGCGCTGTGTCACATGATCTACTTACTGTCTGTTAAAGTTTTATTTTGTCGATCGTGGACGAAGAGGCAATATCATTCATTCAGTAAACTCCATTGGGAATTCTAAACACCACATAAACACCACCATCCAGAAAAAAGATGCTGAGAAAGATGGTTCAATTTAGAACTTTAGGAAAAACGTATGCTACGATTTGGTAGGCGTGTGAGACATTTTATTTTAGAAAAAGTGGTGCTTGAAATCATTCCCTTAAGCTGGAGAATTATTGGAGTTTGCAGAGCTGTCAAATATTAAAGCCTAGCTAAATATATATAAAGGTATTTGAAACATAAACAAATGCAGAGTCTTCTAAACACCTTGAGCAGCGATCTTCGTATGTTTGGCATGCGATTCGCCCCTGTAAAATGTTAGATGCTGCTACAGGACCGGACTACGTCAACTTCTAGCTTAGTGATAGGGAGTGAAGTGATAGAACATGTTGACCACTTCACCTATTTGGGAAGTTGTATCAGCACCAATGGACTGATTGGCGACGAAATCTCAGCACGGATCAAAAAGCCCGAGCTGCTTTCGCTAACTTACGCCATCTCTGGCGTAGGCGTGACATCCGACTATCAACCAAGGGACGTGTGTAGTGCTCATGAGTTCGCTCCGTCCTTCTCTATGGCTATGAATCATGGCCAGTACGAGTTGAAGACATGAAAAGATTGACTGATTTTGATCATAGATGTCTACGATCTCTTTCTCACGTTAGGTGGTATAATAAGGTAAGTTATGTTGACGTTAGGCGGAGAGTGTTGAACAAAGAGAGAAAATCAATCGAAGAGGCTATGAAGTCACATAGGTTGAGATGGCTAGGTGACGTGCTGCGCATGCCTAACCATCGCCTCCCACGACGGGCATTACTAGCTGATATAGGTGCAGGTTGGAAAAGCGTAAGTGGTGGCCAAACAAAAACATGGCCTAATAAATCCATGAAATCCTTGACAGTTAAACTGAGTCAGGTGGGGAGGGAGATGCAGACTTCCGGGTTGGGGCCCTCGGGACTCTAAGAATCAATGGCTGTAGATAATAGGTGACATGGCTCAAAATCGTTGTCAATGGCTTACGCAGATGTATTCAGTCTCTGTAATCTTTCATATTCCTTTCTACCATTGCTCATTCTGTTTCACTCTTATACTTGTCAAAACTCTATTGATTCTCTTCACTCATTTTCCTGTCTACTTTTGTGTGCTATTTGGAACGTGGCAGCTCGAACTGCTGCACTTCGTTGCCAAGTTCTATGTTGAATCCATACAGACAGACAGATATAAAGGTATTGTGACACTCAGACTACATACACTTTTACCAAACAAGAATGATCATTTATGTTATCCACGCGTTTGAAGAAGGAAATAAATAATATAACGACCAGATCAGCAGACACAGTTAACTGTATTCTATAGGTTGGTTTAAAAACAAATTAGATAAGCACTGTGAAAAACGTCATCGTCACTGTTTGTTATTTCAATTTGCTTCCTATTCATTCGTAAACATCTGAAAATCCAGACAGACGGAAACAAGAGCTTGTATTACCTATTAATTTTTTCATTTAGAAAGAGATTACCATGCAGGATTCGAAAGTCAGTCACTATAAAAGAAGTTAAAACATTCAATACCATTGAATACAATCAAACCCTTTTCAACCTCATTCAACAGCTATGTGATGATGCAACATGTCAAAGGATTCATAAACAAAAACTCAGCGAAGCTCTTGGAGGGAAACAAGGGCAATGGCAAGACTATATACTACCACCGATGATATTCGTTAATGTTCTGGGCTGGGTTATGCATCACATCATACAAGAGGAGTCAAAAGACGGGAATACGTTGAACCGATGAGAAGACATAAGTGATGATTTATGTCCCATGTCACACAGACACGAAGACTTGCAAGTGATAATCATCAAGTTGGTAGAAGCAGTAGCACATACATGACTTCTCAAGTGGACATTGAGAAAACGGAGGTGATGAAGATAAACAATCACCACACAACAAGCACTGAACAATACCAATGGGAGAAATTTAAAAGAGGTTACCTCTTTCACTTATCTGGGAGGCATCGTCTCAACTACAGGCCACAGCACGAATGAAGTTTTTAATTAATGATTAGAAAGGACGGGCGAACCTTCACCACCCTGCAATCAGTTTGAAAATCCGCTGTGCTCAACATAAAGGACGTAATTCTTATTTTTAACAGCAATGTTAATTCAGGTCTGCTGTATGACTAAGAATCTTAGCGCGTCATTAAAAGCATTTAAAAAGGCCGAAGACTTTCATTGACAACTATCTTTGCTTGTATTTAAGATCAGATGGCCGTTCAGAAGGAACAAGCAACAAGAAAATCTTGAAACAAAGCTGCCATCATCCTATTAACAGCGAAAGTCCCAAAGACAATACAGATAAATTGCACGCACGCAAAAGAGAACATTCTATAGATTCGTGCGACAGGCCCTCGAGACGAACCCGGGTTAGCAATGAGGAGATCATGTCAGGAGGAGGTGAGAGCCTGTTGAGAATCGGGGGGCCAGATATAGAGGACTGCTGAGAAAACGCCAAAAGTAAAACGTGAAGGCCTATATTCCACTCGAAACCCAAGAGAATAATAATTATATTTCAGTCTGTTGTAGGCCTATGAAAAAGTCGGACCTTAACACCTAGTTTAATTGCAAATAACTTAGCAATGAAGCTTTCATGTACTCATTATTTTTACTGCATTATGTAACGACATTATTGTGCAAGCATACATTGTACGATTGATGTCTGAAGAGAAATGTTTGTATTTCATGTTTTACCACAGTTCAATGTTGTTTATAATGACTTCTACGTAACTAAATAGCTTTGAGAATCTTTCAGGATTTCTATTTCTAAAGATTAAAATCCATTACAGTTGTATATTCTTATGAAATAATAAATATCCTGCGTTATTTTCAATCTATATTTCAGAAATGTGGAAGCAACGATTAAAGCTAACAAAGAATTACATGGTATTGTTATCTCTTATTGCGTACGAGTTAGATGCTGGATCGGAATCAGGTGAGCCTGTTACCTCTTTGATATTTAAAGTGTAAATCTGAAATGAATTTGCAGCATAGAACTATACGCTACAGTATAACAGTTCAGGCGTGCCACATGCATAAAGCTAAGAAAATAAATTGAACCTTATTAAACGGGGATTCACGTCTTGAAGAATTTGTTAAGCTGACAGGAATGCGAAGTCATCAGAAATGGGAGTCGATAAAACTGAATTCACCTGGGCCAAGTCACCAATAGTCTCAAAGTAATAAATTTCAGGATCCCCAGGAATTCATAGTGGCAATCGAACACTCCATGGATTGAGCCAAGGTTTAAACTTGTTGATTCGTAAAACTTTTCTAACCTTGTCACATGTTAGCTAACATTGCCGGAGAAGAAAAGCTATAGTTAGTCATCTTTATCAATACAAACTCAAAAACTTATCAACTGGCTTTTCTTTCCCACCCAGAACACTTCAGCTTACCTAAATACCACCCACGATTTTACACCACTTAATGCTGGAGATGCAATACAGACACATATGGTCAGGGATGGCTAGCCTCCATATTTCTACCACTTTCAACCATCATGTCTCACAGTCGTAAAGAAGGACAAAGGAAACTGGTGCTCAGCACTCGCATCCTTTATATGATAGCCTGATAACAAGTTTACGCTTTTTGATGTTCTAGTGTTTTTAAAGAAACGGTATTTTCGTCATAAAAGTGTATCACAAGACAGTACTAATGTTACAATGTGGAATTTTCATCATTTGGTACAGTATTGCATTTAATTTTATCGAGTAACATTAAAAATAAATAAAGAAATAAGATTACAGGATTGTTAATGGTGGCTCATGTTTTGGTACTTGTAGTGACACTGAAGTCATATATGCACGAGAAAAATTGTAAATTTTCAAGTGTTGGTTTGTAAGGATTAAATTTGTTTCTACAAGTTGATCACGGATTGGAATCAGTCGGAGAACCATTGGAAAACCTTCAGGGAGTACTGGACAGCTGTTTCATCCTAGTCCGGGAATCATTGGCAGTACACAGACAATGAGGTTCGAACCCAGGACCTTCTGGTTACAAGGCAAAGGCTGCCAGACCATGAATTTTAATTTTTACCACTTCGTGATTTAGCGCGACCACCAATCAATGTCATCTGTGGGAACTCCATTAGCCATTGAATCGCATCCCAGTGGTTGATTGCTATAGGAGCTTGCCTTGTAACCGGAAGATCCTGGGTTAGAACCAAAGTCGGTGAGCGTGTACTGCCGATGATTTCCAAACTAGGACAACGGAAACAGCTGTCCAGTATTCCTTGGTCTACGATGGTTCTCTAAATGATATCAATCCGTGGTCAAACTCGTAAAATAAAGATTGTTAAGACCAAAAATAATATTAGCAGCTCAGACTATCAATTAAATGAGATCGTGTCACTATAGATTATATTTAGCCGATTATTTCGCTAACAATATATTAATTCATAGGTTTCCTGGTTAACACTGCCATTATCACATACAGTACGAGCCATATATGGTATTGTGGAGTTCCTTTACTTGGTAGTACGAGCATGTAATCTCTTGTACTGACTTTTGGTTCTACCAGACAAGATACAAGGAGAGAGTTGAGAATAAGTGGGGTGTTGAGGGTCAGGCAATATAGATTTAGACCACTTCTGGCATCAGTAGTAGAAACAAGCTGAAAAAGTTGCCCATCACTTGCCCTATTGAGAATCTTTAATACCCTTCTCAAAATGACATAGTCCTATTTTAGCAGTCTAGCAAAAAGATGGCACTTGATAATTGCAGAACAGTTAGAAGTAATTATCTCTTGATCAGATAGAAAGAAATAATGCTATAAACGCAAAGATCATTATCATCAACTGCTAATTGACTGTGCATGTGATTTTGCATTCACATTATCCAAACCAATTCGAAAGAATTGTGTAAGCTCAAAATACTACAGACTATTTTTTAATTTCAAGCCTATAAATTAACCCACTTCTATCATAAAGCTGGAATATATGAGTAAGTAGCATTTAATAGTAGAAACAACTCATATCGTTACACACCATCTCTTGTAGATAATTCTGGTGCTAGCTAGTAACTCACTGTACGAGAAAGTTTCCTGGAGTTCCAGTGCGAAGCTGTAACCAGTGCGGTTCATCTGGTTAGAAGTGAGGACAAATACTCGCCAATGACACTGGCTGCTGCCAGTCGCGCTAAAATCATGAATTAATGGAAGATAGAATTCTGAATCAGATTCCAATGGCTTAATGATCTAAGGCCTAGCCTTGTAACTCAAGGGTCCTGTGCTGGAAACGCGGCGGGTACGTACTGCCTATGACGAAATAGCTGTTTAGTTCTCCTCGGGATTCCGTGGTCCTTCAACTGATACCAATCGACGATCATAACTTACTATAGATCAGATCCCTACAAACAAAATCTTGAGAAGTTAATAGCAACTCACTAAACTCCTGGTTCAGCAGTGGAATGCTCGCCAAACACGTCAGTGGTCTGGGTTTGATCGGTGACCCAATTTTCCACCGAGAAAATCAAGCGATAAGAAAAACATAACAACAAGTTACTGAATTAATGGCTATTCTCACTAGGCAAACCAAGGATACCATTTAGCATTTTATTAATAATGGCGTTGCATATCGTGAATTTGAAGAAGTCTGAAATATTTTGACGACTGAATTCAGTCCTAGTGGTTGAATGTTCAACGCGCTCGTCTTACAACCTGAAAGTCCTATGTTCAAACTCTGGTAGAACGAGACAGCTGTCTGCATCTCCCTGGTTTCTAATGGTTCTCTCACTGATGTAAGCTTGTGATCTGGTTTGGAATATTGATACTCTTAATCGATAATGTTACTTAAAAGACCTATGACCTAAGTGTTAATCATTAGATAACTAATGAATTTAGTTTTATGTTGTCTCTCATTTCAAACTTTCTGGATGGAATCAAGTTATCGGGATTTTGTTAGCAATTAGACGAAAACTCAATTCAAGTAGTATATGATTACGTCTGTTACTGACTGGAATTTCTTATGACTCGCAAACACCTTCTGTCCACAAATAACTTCAGTATTTCATACGCACTCGATCATAAATTCGGTTTTGCATATTAAAATAATAAGCTTGTGTGAACATGCCTTTGAAATAATTCATTGTCGGTAAAATTGTATACGTGGAAAAGTTAGACTCTTTTATGAGTTTTTATAATGATACCACAAGTTTGAAGTTCAACTAGCTGCATTCCTCTCTGTTATTCAGAAATATCCACTAGTATATAAATCTAATTCTCAGTTTGCAAACTGGATGGCGATTTGCCATGTACACAGTTCTGGGGGTGAAGTTTTCAGCACACTTTTCTTTGGAAACCACATTATTCAGAGTGTAGTTTGTGATCTGCATTTAACCATAAATGGTTATGAAGAAAGCAAGCGAGTTTGCATGAAATGGAACACCAAACATTGATTGAGGTGAATGTTTGAATACCACTCAAATCAACGGGTAGTGAGTGCTAACCAGCCAGATCGAGGTAATTTAAACAGCGGATGGCCGTTTCCCTTGTTTGCGGCTGGTGTCATCAGCGGTGTCTCTGTGATCTGCCTAGCAAGCACCATTGGCTGATATGAGTGGTATACAACCATTCATCTCAGTAAATCAGCCAAAATTTTGTCTAAAAGTGCCTTCCTATTAGCTGAGATGCATTCATTAATATTTTGGCTTTGAGGAACTTGGAGTAGTTCACTTGCGTTATAGGAGCTTGGATAAAATATGATCGGTTGTAGGGTTTCATCATGAGCTGAAATCAGTTAGAGAGCCACTGGAATACCTGCAGGGAGTACTGAACAGCCTGTTTGTCCTAGTGCTTGGGACTCTTCATCAATACGAACCTACCGCAAGGGCTCGAACCTACTGCCTTCTAGTTACAAGGCTAGCTTGTAGACCATTAAGCCACTGGGACCTAATCCAATGGCCACTCCATGAATTCTATCCTCTGCAAATTCATGACATAGCGTGACCACTCAGCAATGTCTAGTTCGATGGGTTACTGCCTCACCTTCTAACTGCTGTACCCTACTGATCAAGGCTTCCCACTGGAACCCAAAGTTAACTGCCCGGATAGGGCCAGTCAAATGTAAGCATTAAATAATTTTCAAGTATTGGTTCTGTACGGATTGTCTTTGATTGGTTGGACGGCTTCATCATCAGGTAATACTAGTTGGATAACCATAGGAAAAAAATGCAACTATTTCGCTTGAGTTTGAAACTCTTCAGTAGTACGTACTCACTGGGGTTCGAAACAGCTGTCCAGTACTCCCTGCAGGTTTCTCAATGGTTCTCTAACTAACCTCAGCTCATAATGAAACCCTCCAATCAATTAAACACAATCCCTACAAAACCAATACTTGAAAATATGACCGGTTTGCTTCTATCGCTAATTGTTGAAAACACCACACTGAACCCTAATTGAGGTTATGTGTTTAAGAAACCAGGTGTCTACTTTAAAGTTAGAATTAGTCTTCATGATTTCACCTAATGTTTTGCCAGAAAACAATCACTGACTCACACAGTTCATGATATCAGACCACATAATCCTACCACTAAACTTGTTATATTTTTCTAATCTAGATGATTGAGATATAGCGTAGTTGAAACTATTGTATGGCATTTTCATTTATAATAGTATGTGTTCTTTAAATACTGTGGATGGTTTCCACTATTAGTAAGAAATTGTAGTTTCAATAGCTTCACTTCCCGTGAAACTAGATTGTGCCAACAGAGATTAAACTAATGTTTCACTTGCCATTTCACACATGCACATATACAATGTATTTCAGCGTTAAATGTCAATATTATTTTTCCTTCTCCTTTATTTACCCTGTGAAGAGGCGTTAATTGTCGATAAATCATAGTAGCTAGGCATTTTTGTTGAACAGTCGGTAGTTAAATTATCTTGATATTTAGTCAGACAATACTCTAACTTTATTTAACATTTATTCTACTTGTGTTTTTCCTCTTCCACTAGCCGGTGTTCTCTCTATGTTCCATTTTTATTGATGCAACCGGGAAAGGAGACTAACCTAGTGAATAATGCAAACTATAAAATCTCTCATATTTCACATGTTGATGTTATGGAAATTCAGGTAAGCTATCAGACGTCACCTTACACACCTTGTAATCTACACTCTAATTTGTTTCCCTGTTAATCTGATAAATTACACTTTACACTTGCTCGCAGAGTTCAGGATTTGGCGTGTGATGAATTGCCATTGCTTCTGCGAGATTCGCATGTATTCTGGTTGGCTTGTGGATTAGCTTGGTGTTTTGATTTAATCAGGTATTCCAAGATAGAGCTGCGCAGGAGGGGGTCTTCTTCCTCCTATAAAAAGCCATGAGGGTAAGTGTTCGACGACACGTCTGGATAGCAAACGTTGGGTATGGTAGATTCACCTAGCTCCACACGAGCAAGCAAATCGGTAGGTACATACTCATGAGACCAACAGTGTTAGCTTATCCTTTACGATCTACAATGGACTTTATCTATACTAAACAACAAGTGGGTAGTTTTCTTTTTCGTAATTGTATTATTTTCTTCCCTTACCACCCATTAAATTTATGCCCCTTATTACTACTGTTCAAATTTCCCAACTGATATCTGCTACCTTGACGTGATGGTCGCCGGGCTTGCATATCGTAATGACCTAACAAGCTACACTGGCTGAAATTATTCTTCCTGCAGGTCCCACTATGCCAGGAAGGTTGTTAGGATAGCGATTAGATTAAAAGCAGTTACCGGCATTGTGTAGGAAATTTTACACTATGCTGGGGTTCTGTGGGCGAAGTCGTACTGCTTGGGAACAAGGATGTAACAGCAGTAAGGTGTTTCCCTCAGATGACCAGCACACCAGCCACCTATACTCCCTCCACTCTGGAGAGAAGGGGTTAGAAAAGGTCGACTCCCACGACTGCACATCCTGACTTACCCTACCTACAGTGGTAAGTTTAATAATATGGAACCAATACCAGGAACCAGCTCATACAGGCCGTGTGTGACCCCCCTCAAGCATTTGTCCCCTTGGCTCTGCGGTCACGCAACACTAACCCTCTTTCTTTTTCAGGTACCTGAAGAGTCAATCAACTTCCACAGTGTGGGCAGCCGGGAAGTAACAACCACCCACACACTTCCAAAGGCACACGTAGCCTTCCTGAGCATCATTCTCCTTTATCCGCATCACCCTCATCATCTTACTCCCCTACTACAGTCGGTACTATTCTACAGGCTAGTGAGTCATCTTCACTCACTCTGTGACTACGAACAACGATGACAGCCATAGAAACATCCCCGACAGCCTCTCAAAACCACGTTGCCAACTTCATTTAGGAGCATTCAACGTCAGGACTCTCTGTCAAATCGGACAACAGGCATCACTAGCAAGAACTCTGGCATCTACAGCCATGGATGTATGTTGTGTTTCAGAGACACGCAAACAAGATTAGAGTAAAGTCATTCACTAAAACCTCACTCGGCGAAAAAGGTGAATCTGAAAAATTCCCTTTAAGTGTGTCAGCTAGTTCGCGAGGACTCCCAAGTGTAGGAATAGCACTGATTGTTAGGGCAGAAAAATCACTTCTTGACTGGATCCCAGTACATAGTCGTATGTGTGCTGTCCGTCTGAACAGGTCCTTAAGAAGATGGAAGGACGGTGTTACCCGCCGTTGTCTTTTCGTAGTCTCCGCTAACGCCTCAACAGACTGCAGTTCGGATGAACTAAAGGATGAATTATACCTCAAATTGTCCAATTTGCTGCAAAAAGCGAAACGTTCAGATAGAGTTGTTTTAGCAGACGACTTCAACTCCCAAGTAGGGAAGTTGTGCCAGACTGAGAAGTATGTAGGTGGTACGTATGGAGTTCTCTCCTGGCAAACCGACAACGGTGATTGTCTTCTATAGTTTTGCTCAGATAATCATCTCTCCCTAGTCAGCACTAGCTTAAGGCACGAAGAGAGAAACTGAGTAACCTGGCGACCCCCACCACCGAGTCAACGCTGGACTCAGATAGACCATATAGCGACGGGGTATCATTGAAGAAGGTCAGTAGAAGACTGCCGCTACTTTTGGAACACGTGCATAGACTCTGATCACGCTCTGGTCCACGCACGTTTATGCTTACGACTGAAAGGAAATAAAAAATTGCTCGCAGCGAAACAGTTACGTCCCCAACTAGATCGAGACACTGAGTCCCTACTTAAGGAAGAAATAGCGAAACGTGAATCTCAGCTCGACAGCGGTACACCTCCTGTGGTAGCCTGGCACAAAATGCAGTTAGCTGTAGACACAGCTGTAAAGACTGTTAATAACCTAAAACCAAAAGTTAGTAGGAGCACTGAATCTCTACCACCTCATCTGAACTGATTGACGCAAAAAGACTGATTCCAGCGAGCTCCGATTATGAAAGAGTGTAAGCTACTCAAACGCAAACTAACAATACGTCTTCGCAACGACTGTGAACAGAGGTGGGCAGCAAGAGAGAAAGAGATGGAGAAGGTATCGGCATTCAGTAACACCAGACAACAATTTAGACTTATCAGGGAAACAGGCGGTAAAAGACAGACGATAAGTGAAACAATCTCTGAGAAAAATGGCACCATAATTTGCTTCCAAGATAGACGACTAGAACTATAGAAAGAATACTCTGATGAGCAGTTTAATTGGCCTACGGCCACGCTCAACTTAACGAACATCCAACACCTAAACGAAGTGGGATATAGACACAGGTCCACTGTCACTAACTGAGGTTACTTAGGCCGTCACTAGTCTGAAACGAAACAAAGCAGCAGGACTTGATGGAATGAATCCAAAGGTATTTAAGTACGGTGGAGACAGTTTACTGTCTGCGTTAACTGAGGTTCTAGGCAGCGTCTGGGAATCAGAGGAAGTCCCATCGGGTTGGTGTAAGTCATTGATTTTCTCGATATACAAGAAGGGAGACAACTCTACCTGTGATAATCACAAGGGGATTAGTTGACCAGTATGATATCTAATGTTCTAGGCTCAATAATAATCCGTAGACTGAGTGGTGCTAGGGAGACACACACAGGAGAGAATCAGGCAGGCTTTAGACCAGGAAGAGGGTGTATTGATCGTATCTTCACCCTTTGACAGATTCTGGAACTTAGGCATACAAACTGGCGTTCAACAATCGTCATATTTCTTGACCTAAAGGCGGCATTAGACTCTGTCAACCGAGAAGAACTCTGGTAATGCTTGGCTGTAAAAGGAATGCCGAGAAAATACATTGCACTGATCAAGGCACTCTACTCAAACTAATGCGGCCAGCCAGGTGAGAGCTTACGATCAGTTGTCATCTGAAGTGGTGAGAACTTGTAGTGTCCTTCAGGGATACCCACTATCCCTATTTCTATGCAATTTGACATAGATATAGTTCTTATGGACTTAACCCTAACTCACTTCAGATACTCAAGGATTGACTTGTTACCAGAGAATAATCTCTTTGACTTAGAATATGCAGATGAAGACGCTGAGAAAATGCAGAGTCTTCTGAACACCTTGAGCTGCAATCTACGAATATTTGGCACGCGATTCGCTCCCGCCAAATGTAAGGTGATGATACATGACTGAGTCTTAGCTTAGAAATACATAGTGAATTGGTAGAGCGTGTTGACCGCATTATGTATTTGGGAAGTTGCATCAGTCAGTGCCAGTGGGTTGATCTCTGACGAGATCTCAGCACGGATACGGAGGGCTCGTTTCGCATTTGCTAGTTTACGTTGTTTAAGGCTTATTAAACGTGATATCTGGCTGTCTATCCACCAGAGAGGCGTGTGTACCACTCAACAGTCCGCTCCGTCCTCCTTTATGTCTGTGAGACCTGGCCATTGAGAGAGGGGAACATGAAAAAGCTAGCTGTCTTTGATCATATGTGCCTGCGTTCTATCTCCCGTGTTAGGTGTTAGGTGTAATAGGGTGAGCAAATATTGAGGTTAGGCGTCGAGTGCTAGGTAAGGAGGGGAAATCAGTCAACGAGACTGTGAAATTACATCGACTGAGATGGTTAGGACATGTGTTACGTATGCCTAGTCACTGCCTTCCTCGAGGGGCAATGTAAGCTGACATAGGGTCATATTGGAAAAGAGCTAGTGGCGTTCAAACCAAAACATGGCACCAGCCAGTGAAATCCACAACAGTTAGTTGGAAGATGTAGACTTCCTTACTGTACTCATCTACACTTATGATGTGGTATTGCACGATCAAGGTGTACATCTATCTAGATACAGCTACCAATAGTCAAAGTAATATGAAACGAAATCTAATTTCTACTCTAAGAAAAATACATGTGTAAAATAGTGGACACTTAGGCAGTATATAATTTTATATTTATTTGTTTATTAAATATGTCGTACAGTGTAATAGTATTATTTACTGAATGACAAAGTTTCGACACACAGTATATTAGTGATCATAATCATATCAGTTATAACTTGACAACTTCAAAGCTTCCATTTTGTAGTTTTCAGTACTCCTTCCTGCTAGTCATTAGGGTAGAAGGATTTTCTAGATGTTCTCGTGGACAGGTGTTGAATCAATTCTACGATGTGTAATTTCAGTTGATATGATAAAACAAAGCTTTCTTTATCAACCTATCCTTTCACAATTTACAAAGGCTGTAAGTGCTAACCACTTACCAAATCTACCCTCACGTTTTGGCATTTGAAGCTATAAATGCTAGTGGGAAGATCGCTGTTACTCAGAGGGAATATTATTGCATACAGGTGTGGATCCAGTTTTTTTTACTATAGCTGGATTCCACACAGTACTGCGGTACAAGTATGGAATCTTCAGCATATGATATCGGCAGCCCGAACTTAGCAGACCTACCCTTGAAATCAGGTGTGTGTCGGTCAGCGATCGGACCCTGGAACATGTGCATAGTCGGCGAATGTCCTAACCCCTGTGCCACTGACGCAGTGGACATCGACCACCCCTAACTAATCAACATCACGCTAATCTCAAGACATTTACCAAAGCTTCCATAGTTGAAGCCTTCAGGAGAAACGTAACCAAGGACATTGATGCAGTATAATCTATCAACAGGAGAACATATCTAATTAAGCAAATAATGTGTAAAAATATACTGACAACAAGAAAATGCATTTTTTAAGACAAAGACAAAGTTTTTCTCTACTTTTAAGTTGATTTTCATGTCTTATTTCATTTTTTATTGTTTCAATTTAGCAACCGGAAGTCAAATCAACAGAGAATGACGAACAAGTGGAAACAGTGAACAATAATGACATAAAATCAGACTGAATGACAGACAATCAAAGTAGTGAATACACACTTGCAGATGGTTTTCTGCTTCAGTTCATAATTTTTTTCAAAAAAATATACAAACACAAATGTATATCTGCTTTATTCTAAGCCAATGTTATCCAGTGGCAATCGTATATTACTTTTTCTTTTGGGCTCTTCAAGTTTACCTTGTGCTGTTATTATTTTATCTATATTCTTTTGCGTTCCAAGTAGAACAAAGAGCTTCAAGTTTCCGCTTACAAGTTTCACTAGCAGTATTCTAATTTATGCGGGATGTGATTGCTAGCCTCACTCCAGAAAGCTTCCATCTTTACCAGGCCGCTTACTACCACCAGCGGCTAGGTGACGTTCAGGATTGCGTCGGCTGCAGATAATGACCCCAGACTAACTGCGCATCGTTGGCAAGCATCCTACTGCTGCACTACCCATACAAAATGGTTCACCTTGTAACTATTATTAATTTGTATGATAATAATAATCAAACAAAACCGCTTCTTTCACCCGGTAGTAGACAGCCAGTTGTTTGTTCGTATAATTTAATCTGTGCATTGTTCACTTACAGATACTAATTATCCTATCATGAATTTTTGATCGTTTTTTTTTTGTTTGACCTTTATAAGATGACTGAAATGATTTTTGCCGGGATCATAATTGTGATCTGGATCAAAATGCCAATAATCATGGTGTATGCCAGTTCAGTTTTTCCCAGTTTACAGAATTATCAAGTTATTGCATATTATGTATGCAAATATCCTTACAGATTATCAGAAACTTTAAAAGTTTACTCATATATATATTTATATATATTTGTACATATACTTGATATATCGTTTCTTTGTTTTGTATATTCAATCAAAATCAAATTTACCTTATTATTGTGATTATTATCTATGGAATTATGACATATACAACTGTTACTAAGTGAAAATATTCTCAAGAGTAAGTTTTCAGCGATCTAATTTGTTTCCAGTTTGACAGCGAGCTGATTGATATCAGCTGGCCAACCACTGAAAAACCACCGAGGAGTCTTGAATAACTGTTTCGCCCTAGTGTGCGATTCTTCGAAAGTAGGCGCCCACCAGGGTTCAAAACCAGAACCTGCTGGTTACAACGAAAACCTGTGGATCATTCATCCACTTGGAGTTAACCCTTTAAAAAAAATCCTGAATTCTCACTTCTAACAGTTCATGACTTTTACGCTAATAGCACAGTGAACCTCACTGGTTACTGACAAAATAAGTAATAAAGGGATTCATCCATTCACGGTTTAACCGGAAGTCAGTACATTATTGTTATTATGGTTTCCTTTAATTCCTAGAGGAAAATAGGGCTTCAACCGCATGTCTCCACTGCGTTTGGTTCTTTGCTAAAATTTTCATCAGGCTCCAAGTCTGCCCACATCCTTTCATCTCCTCTTCACATGACATCCTCCATGTCACCCTTGCACTGATGACCTATTCTTCGCTTTCCGTTCGGGTTCCACTCGAGTGATGGCCTGTGTTGTGATATCACCTGACGGTTTTCTCAGAGTATAGTCAATCCACCTCCGTTTCTTCCTGCATGTTTGTTGCACAATCCGTTTGTGGTTGGTTGGCTCCCAGCGATCCCTTCCTATTTTTCATCTTTTCTGGCCATCTGATCTGAGTTCTGAGTGGAGACAGCTGTTGTTAAAGGTGTGTAGTTTGTTTGAGATGCTCTTTGTGACGCGCCTCAAGTCTATGATCCATCCGTATAGTAGCACTGTTTTCGCATTGAAGTTGAAAATCCGGATCTTATTTTTCATGCTCAGGAGTGCTGTCGATCTCCACATGGGCTTGAGAGCAATGAAAGCTTGCCTTAATTTCCCTATCCTTGTTTTGATATCCTCATCAGTTCCGTCCGTCTGTAATTGAAACTATGCCTCCCAGGTATGTGGTGAAGGAGGTTGCTTCTTTCAAACTCTTCACATTTATGCTGACTATTGTCTGTTGTAGTTGTTGTTGCTGTTGGCCAGGAATCTTCTTCACCTCTGTTTTCTCTATGTTCACGTGAAGGAAGTTCTATCTTCTCTGGATGCTTCTTCTGCCAAATTGTTGCTTTTCATCACTTGCATATCTTCCAGTTTGTGGAAAATCAGACATATATCATCGGCAAAATCCAAATCCTCCACGTTTTTTATATGGGTGTATACAAAATCTCTCACTCTCTTGAAAGTTAATCTCATGCTTGCTAGTGACTGGCTACTGGAAGAAGTTGACTGGAGTTCTTTTGAAAAGTCGTGACCAGTGGAGTTCACTAAGTCGGACGTGAGGACTGATGCTCGCAAATGACATTGTCTTCTGGACGCGTTAAACCACGAATTGGTAGAAATTGTGATTCATGGATCACGTGTCAGTGGGTGAATGGGCTACTAGCTTTCCTTGTTACCGGAAGGTTGTGGCTTTGAACCCTTATAAGCGAGTACTGTGAAGAGTTCACCACTAAGACGAAACATCTGTTGACAAATTCTTGGTAGTTTCCAATGATAATCTAGCTGTCGTCAGCTCACGGACAATACATGTGTAAAACTTGGGCACTGTGGAAGTGAGTAGTTCAATTTTAATCTGTTCATTAGATATAACACCCAATGGAACAGTGTTATTTACTTGGTGATGTTTCCAACACATTTTATTGGTGTTCATAAGTATATCAATTATAAATGGAGAACTTCGTAACTTTCCTTTTATAGTCCTCTTCATTCTTTTGGATTCTCCGTAGGGTGTGATATAGCTCATAAACAAATTAATATGGTATTTAATACATCCTTCAGTGCTTAACTGAATTTCTTGGCTCTGATTGCTCATTCGGAAAGGTTAGCTTTTTAATTTAGATCTGGTAGCAGTCCTGAGTGTGTTTTGTATGAGGCATAATTAATCCGACAAGTTTTGATTTTTACAAGAGAGTAAGATTACACATTACAAAATAAAATGAAGTCACGAGATGATGGAGTGGTAACACAAAGAGGGTTTAGTAAAGGAAACAATATGTGTTGGTTACATAAATCTTTACATGTGGATTTTTATTATTTCTGAATGGAAAAGAGGTCAACAGAACATTCAAATTTTTTCCTGTTCTCTGCAATTCTCTTTAGTCGAACACATGCACAACTCGTTGTTTCTCACTCGGGCTCCACCCGATGTCATGAAGCGTGTTGTCACCCGACGGCCTCCTTATCATGTGTCTGATGTATCTTCGGAATATGTACTGAGCAATAGGTTCTTGATTTTTCGGTCACCATAGATTGCTGTTGCTAATTACGTCTCATCAGCTATCCGATTCTAGGTGAAGTTAGCAGTCGATAAATATCTGCATCCTGTTTTAAGTGCTTTTCGTGGCGTATCAAGCCTAAGGACCACATTGAATAACTGATTTAACATTAGTGTTAAAGGTTCGAATCTTATTCTTTATGCTGAGTTCAGCAGATTTTCAAACTGTTTTCAGAGTAATCAGTTTCCACCTTTTCTTTTCGATTCTGGCTCTGGCATCTTCATCCATGCCGCCGCCTGTTGTCAAAATGATGCTGCCTGGCGAGCTAAGTGAAGGAATGATCGTCTTTAAAATTTAAACCATTGATAACGATTGATGATTGTTTTTGTTGTTGTTTTTAGTTTTTCCTCATCACCTCCATCTTCTCTATGTTCACCTGAAATCCTGTCTTTGCCACTTCTTCAACCAATTTGTTGGTTTTTGTTTGCAGACCTTCGAATTTGTGTGACATTTGGCAAAAATCGTCCGCGGAATCCGGCTTTTCTAGAGATTTCGCATCAGTCCAATATATTCACGTCTTCTTGCTCCCCACTCACTGGCTGGCTTGAAATCTAGTCCTCCACAGTGAGGAATATCTTCGCTGATAGTGGTCATCATTCTCTTATTCCTGTTTTATTTCGAAGGCTTTCAATTGTGAAACACTTGATCTGTGCCATTGTCATATAACCATAGAAGTTGAATAAGATTTTTTGCACCCCATAGTGTTGAAGTAGTCTCCAAATCACCCCAAGGTCAATAGTATCGAAGTCAGGGTTTTTTAGAAGTTTCTTCTATCTATTCGAATTTCTTATTTTAAAAAACAAGAAATAAAACCACTAAAACAATGACAATTAGCTAAACATTTCAGTACACAAAGTTTTAGTTTTTGGCTCTGTACCACTTTTTCTGGCATTCAGTTCAAACATTGAAGCATGAATAAGGGGTGTGCTCAGATCTTTAATTAAAACAAATGTAGCGAAACTTAAACAACAACTGTAACGTTTCGTATACATGCCATTTGAATGACCGCCATTTTGTTACAATAATTAAAACAGTTACACAGAATTTTTTACTAGTGAATCTCACATATTCTGGCAGGAAATTAATCCTTTACAAAGTTTATTAGTTGTTTATAGGCAAATGGAATATCTCATATTAAGAATCTAATTCATGAAAAAATTAAGAAAAACCTTTGAATTATGTTTCTTAACTGAAGATGAAAGCATTTAATTTGTGGGTGGTGACTAGCAGTGGAATCCAGGATGCGCATTTCGTCCGATTCGGAACTCGTCATCTGGATGTGCCTGCATTTCCCAGTGAGGAGTGATAATGTTCCCACCGAGGTTCGAACCCAGTGCCCGTAGTTTCAAACGCGTCGGTGAGAACATCATCACTCACTGGGAAATGCAGGTACATCCAGATGACGAGTCCCAAATAGGAAGAAATGCTTATCCTGGATCCCACTAATAGTCATCATCGACTGATTAAATGCCAAGACATCGTAAAACCACTGGAGAACGTGGTTCTCTAACTGATGTCAGCCCATGATGAAATCCTCCATCCAATCAAACAACATCCCTAAATCAATACTTGAAAAATCAATCAATATATGCATACAGTATACATCCAAATGGACTCACACAAAAAACTTGGAGGATCTGGACTTCGCCGATGATATATGTCTGATTTCCCACACACTGGAAGATATGCCAACGAAAAGCAACAAGTTGGCAGAAGCATCCAGAGATTATAGGACTTCAGGTGAACATAGAGAAAACGGAGGTGATGAAGATTCATGGACAAGAACAACAAAAACAGAAAACGAACAGCATAAATGGAAGGAACCTGAAAGAAACAACCTCTTTCACCTACCTGGGAAGCATCGTTTCAACTACAGGCGGAACTGACGAGGGTATCAAGGCAGGAATCGGAAAAGCAG